GGGTCACTGTCAGGATGGTTGTAGCCACCATCAATACCAGGGCATTACGGGAGATGTCCCCACAGGCGACATCCTTCATTTCCTACTTGACTAATAGTCACTGGGCAAGTACTACGAGCTGTACTTGCATAGCAAGTACTATGCCAGGTACTGAGAATACAGCAGAAATAGTCATGTCTTCTACCCTCCTGGAGTTTATATTCATTTATTCACTCTCTAGGTCCCAGCAACCTTGGACACATCTCTTTCCTCCTTTGCTTTAGACCTCCAGTATTGTCCGTGATTCTGGGGTATAAAGACAATTGTCAAATCTGAAATCTGGAAAGAAGCCATGGGAGGGCTCTGTCTCAGCTCTGTGTGCACTTACAACAGACCTATGTTCATTTCAAATTCTGACATTTTTTGTTTTTTTTCAGGCAGAGGAAGGTGGTAATTCCCTGAGTCTGCATCTCTCTCCTCACTCTGGTCTCTTACCAAAGACCCAAGAGGGAGAGGTGCAGGCATTTGAGGCTTCTGGCAAGACTGTGGCCTGCCCTCTTGCCTCACTTCCACACCACCCTTCACACACACCTGCTTGGCCAGACTACTGCCATTGCTGGGACAAAGGCTGCTAGACGGTCAGGGGCTCATGCATGCTAGGCCAGTGTTCTACTTCTAGCTACGTCTCCATCTCCTGCTTAGCTTGTGGTGTGGTCTTAATTTTTGTGCTATACTGTCTCCACTGGTCACTTGGCCAGGTGGCAGGAGGGGAGCAGACATTGACCTCTTACCCTTAGACCCTTTGTTGTCTACTTATTCTTATAGGCTGAGTTCACCCTGCATTTTCTGCATGCAGCTCACTCTGATGGCTCTGAAGGACTGTCCACCCAAACTACAGGATGGTTGCCCTGCATTAACACAGATTAATTTCATTGTGCCTTGAATTCTGGCTAGATTGCTGATTCTCTCTTACTAGACTGTTGAATAATGAGCAATTGAAGCAAAAGTGCTGTGTCTGGTTCATCACTGTCACCCTCCAAGTGACCTGCCCAGGAGTATCAGTGATTGCCATTCTAATGGAACTAGGCATTCATTGAAATCCAGAGCTGCTATTCGTCCCAAAATCTCATCCCAATGTCTCACCTTGGGACTAACACTCCTTACCCGCTTCCCTGTCCATCACACTCTTCAATAGAATGATGCCACCATTGTGATTGCTGGGAGATGAGCCTTGTGATCCAGGTTTCTGCCTGTGGGAAGAGTTGCTCTTTCTGGAGAGCTACATCAGGGGCATGGTGAGTTTCCTTGCAGCTTAAGGGTCAGAGTATGGCACATTCCTGGCAAATAAAAACAGCCCAAAGAAAGGAATCTGAGATAGAAAAGCCAATGTTGCAGGTGCCCAACAGCTTTGACTACAACCCAGGCAAAGGATAGGACTTTGGGGAGAACTGGTTAGGATGGCTCGGTTATGCTGTGCTAATGCACAGGTTCATATTTTTTATGACTCAACATGACAGAGGTTTTTTGCCTTCTCATGCTGTATGTCCACTGTGGGTTTCAGGGGCCTATCCTCAGAGACCCTGGTGGATGGAGGCTCCACCATCAAAAGCTTTACCAGTTATTACGGCCAGGGAATGACACCTGGAGCATCTTCCACCAGCAGTGAAATGCTGTGACACATTTCACACCTGCCCACAATACCCTGACCCAAAGTATTCTTAACGCATGCCTAGAGCAGCTGAGCAGCCCCTCTGCCTTTGGGTGCCATGTTGTTTTACCGTATATTCCAGGGCATCTCTCGGCCAATGTCACACACTCTGTCATCTTCCAGAAGACTAGATTCACAGAATGATCAGACACTGAATGGCTCTGAAAGTAGTGGTTTCAGTTCACTTCACAATTTTATACCTCTTGAATGGTGGGGTGAGCATGAAATGAGCCCTAGAGTGGGTGGATGGAGCCCAGGTTTGATTGTTGGCCTTTGTTCCTGTTCTGCAGTCTGACTAGATCCAGCTCCTCTTTCTGAGAAATGAGCTGGTCAGTTAGGTGACCTCTGGACTCTGTAACCTTGCAAACATTTAATCAGACTCTCTAGAATCCTCCAATCCTGAGGTCAGAGAAACTAGAGTTCCTTTGTAAGGAAAATATCACATGAATATCATTGG